TCAAAAATGAATAAACTTAAAAAAAAAAAAAGTAAGTTCCCACCAATAGGTTCTTTCCCTCTCATTACTGTAACAATAGACAGAGACATAACATTCTCAAATCCTCAAACAAGTTCATAGCAGCAGAAATGACCTTTATAAAAGTTGGAGCCATTCTTTAAATAATATGTTTTTAAAAGCCAATATAAAATTTGGCAGAGCAAGAGACAAGATCTAGAATTAACATGGCATTTGGTGGAACAATTAAAATTACCCAAACAAAACTAAAAACAAGCTATTTCACCTATCCGAGGACTTAAAAACGCACATTTATATTTTAAGTAAATTTTACTACAGTATAATATCCTAAAGGCTATACCATGTTAAGTGGCACCCAGGTAGTCTCACATTGGACATTCATAATTTCCACTGTTTGGATATTTCCCCTAGGGATCACATCATGAAGTTAGAGGTTTCTAAGAAGTGTGAAAGACTGTGACACTTGGCTGAGCATTCTTATACTAATCAATCCATCTCAAAGTAGTCACGTGGTTCCATTTTGTTAACTTATTTAGAAAACACAGTAACTCATCAAGAAGACTATTCTTTTTTATTTTACTTCCAGAACAATCTTTTATTCCTTTCTCTTGCTTCAGCTTGTTTTTCACACTTTTTACGAGCATACTTACTCATTTTCTTTTACTCTCACATTCATGGGATCAGTCAATTGTATACACATAGCATAAGCACATACACAGTCATATGATCTTCTCCTGACGCAACATAGACCACAATTCTGAGGAAGCACCTTTTTAAAATTTTTCTTTCAAGAACAGAATTTAGTGATTCATCGCTTACATATATCATCCAAGTGCTCATCCCAACAAGTGAGGGAAGACTATTCTGAAGTACAACTGACCTATGAACAACATAACGGTTAGGGCCAACTCCCACCGCCACACTTAGTCAAAATTTTATGAGTAACTTTTGACTCCCCCCAAACCTAACTACTAACAGCCTATTGTTGGCCAGAAGCCTTATCAGAAACATGAACAGTTGAGTAACATGTGTATTTTGTACTTTATATGTATTATATACTACTCTTACAATAAATTTAGAAAAAAGAGAATGTTACTACAAAAGCCATAGGGAAAATACATTTATAAAACTTTACTGTAAAAACTTATCTGTATAAACAGATCCACACAATCCAAACCTATGTTGTTGGAGAATCAACTATATTTGGTAACCCGGTTTCACCTCGTCTCAGTTCTGTTTTACCCTCATCATGCAAACAATACACATGCTGTTTAGTGGGAATTTATTTATCATTAACCCTTGAGTTTTTAAAAAGTCTAAGTTTTAGCTTTGACCACATAAACAACCTAACAGAGTGTTTAGTTTTCTTCTGTAGCAGATTTTAATAGCTTACTAAATGACTTTTAAGAGTTTGTACATTAGGACTTTCCCAATGAACACCACAAGACTATCCATGACTTTCATCTCCCTCAGTACTGCACATATCTCTTGTACATGATAAGCAATCAATTATCTGTTCAATGACCCTTAAGCAGAAAAATTTTAAGATTAATTCCTAACTTCCAGCCTAGAAAGATTCCTAACAAAAACAAATTATGGAAAACATCCTTTTTAGAGATTCATGCAGAAGTACTTTTGAATGGAAGGACAGGTCAGGATTTGCTCCAGCAAATTAAACTACTGAGGCACCTGGGTGGCTCAGTCAGCTGGGCGTCCCAACTTTGGCTCTGGTCACGACCTCACGGTCCAAGCCCCACATCAGGCTCCATGACGACAGTGCAGAGCCTGCTTGGGACGAAACTAAGTGTACAAAGGTCTTGGCTTCTAGACCAAAACAATGATTAAAAACACTAACATCTGTATTTAAATCAGGCTGTAACTCAGATTTTCATCTCAAAACTTTCATGGTGCTTATACAGATTAACCTAGAGTAATAGAGATAATAAATTCATGGAATTACACAACTTTAGAACTGAAAGGGTTTTAAAGAATCACCAAGTTTAAGTATCTTGCTCAAATCCCAAAGCTGTTCAGTACAGAAAAGCATTCTACACTGGAAAACATTTCTTCTCACACCTGTTAACCTGTTCACTTGTTTTCTAACAACAAGTACAATATATTGCTGCTTTCAAAAAATCTTTTCCTCTTTTTAAGTTTGGATTGCTTCCTTTACCACAGCATATAATTTTACAAGTTACATATCATGTCTACAAAATATTATTTGGTTAAAACATTTACAATTACATTAGAATAACTATTTGTACCTTAAGTTTCCTTGTTTTCATAGACTCCAGATTTTGATTTTAACAGTACTTTATATCAACATTTTTATATTCAAGTTTCTGTGAAAAGCATACTGTTTATAAAAAACAAAATCTTGTGTGTCAAATCAAGCTCAATTTTGTTACTGCAAAACAATTTTCTCTCAACTGCTGATTTTCTAATGTCACCCCTGAAAAGAGCATAAATTATTTTAATGTGAAAGAAAAACAGAATATAGAAATTGTTGGCACACAAAGAGTAGCAGGCTGCACTTTTAAGTGCACACTGCAATACTGTGCTATAGCAACTAGCTCAGCTATGAGCTTACATTTTATTTATTTCTGTAGGAAACTAATATAGTACATGAAGACCATCTTAGCATTATAGTAAAAGTATTATTAAAGAAAACTTTCCTACCTTTTAGATTACCTAAAAAACAGGGGCTACACATTATTAACTAGCAAAGTTCCTTTTTTTTCTTAAATTTTTTTAATGTTTAATTATTTTTAAGAGAAAGAAAGAGCATGAATGCGGGAGGGGCAGAGAGAGGGAGACACAATCTGAAGCAGGCTCCAGCTTCTGAGCTGTCAGCACAGACCCCCCCACACCGCACATGGGGCCCAAACTCACTCATGCCCACGTTTCCAGGTTTGGCTACTTCAATCTAAATTGAAGGCGTTAAGCAGAATTTTTTTCCAGGTATCTTAAGTTTTTGCATATTTTCCCAAAACTCCTGCTCTTTTAAGTTTTGCACTATGCCACTTTGAAACCTAGAAGGTATGTATGTAGAACAAGTCTCCTCTTCTATATATTCATCTAACATTTATTGAGCACCACCCACTCATAAGCATTCTTCTGAACTTGACAGTAAGACTGTAACAATAAAGGCTTACATTCCTCTCTCATGAAACTCATAGTGTAGGGGATCTAAGAAAGATAAGTCAACAACTGAAAGTCAGCACTATGGAACTGATACTATGCTCAAAGTACACACAAGATGCTAGGTAGACCTATACTTTACTGCATATACAGAAGAAACAGCCTCATACTACAAGTAAATGAGCCAAGAAAGTTGAAAGGGTGAGAAAGCTAAGTCAAACAGGCTATTCAGAATACAGCCTCTGATTAGGCACAATTTGTAAAATAAATGAGCATGACTTTAGGGGGAAAAAAAATACAATTTGTAGAGACTGCTTAAGCTGAATATAAATTATACCTAAAACTAAAACAACACGTTATGAGAGTACAACTCGGGAAAGTTGAACTATGAATTGAGACTTTACAGAAGGGTACTCTGTGACAAAATAACTGTAACAATCTTTAGACACTTGATTTCGGAAAACAGCAAATATGAAAGTTAAGTGGAAAGGTGTAAGATGAGGATAAAGGTGAGAAAAATCAGCAAGAAATTCACAGAAAAACCTAAGAGGATAAACAGTCCAGTTTTTAAATCCTAGTTGGCTTTTGGGGCACCTGGGGGGCTCAGTTGGTTAAGTGTTCAACTCCTGATTTCAGCCCAGGTCACGATCTCATGGTTCATGGGATCTAGCACTGCCTTGGGTTCTGCACAGACAGCACAGAGCCTGCTTGGGATTCTCTTTCTCTCTCTCTGTCTGCCCATCCCCAAATAGTGTGTGTGTGTGTGTGCGCTCTCAAAATAAATGAAAATAAACTTTTTTTAAAAAATCCTAGTTGGCTATCAAGCAAAAGCAACAATGATCTAAAAAGCAATCTTCAACAAACACAATTTCTCTTATATTCAACATCCTTGAATAAATCTAAGATTGGCTATTTAAAACCATTAGGTTAAAAGTAAAGAGTACCAGGGCACCTGGGTGGCTCAGTCTCTTAAGCATGTGACTTCAGCTCAGGTCATGATCTCTCAGTTTGGGAGTTCAAGCACCCCATCAGGCTCTGTGCTGACAGCTTAGAGACAGGAGCCTGCTTCAGAATCTTTGCCTCTCTCTCTGCCCCCCACTCTCAAAAATAAATAAACACTAAAAAAAAAAAATTTTCTTTTAAAGAAAGTATAGGGAACCTAATGGAATTCTGGCTTAAACTTTGATGTATATAAGAATCACCTGGGGAGCCTGTTAAAAATGCAGATTCCCAAATTATATGGTCAAAGTGAGGCTTACAAAACGCAAAAATACTATAAGAGTTACCAGTGATACAAGGTGCAGTCCAAAACAGGTTGAACAGCATGAAAATCACTACTTTAGTAAGGTGAAAACAGTCAAATACAAAAATGTCAAAGTAAGTGAATGAAAAAAGCAAAGTCTTTTCAACAAATAGTGTTAAAACAACCAATAAAGGGCTCTCACCCACCAGTTATGTCAAACTCCCTCCCTACATCTGACCTACATCCATCAATTACCCATGCAAGTCAAAATTTTAACTTTCTGAATTTCAGCTCTATCCCTCATAAATGCTCCCTTTTACCGCAGCTTCTTTTTCCCATATGAACTTCAATACCCTCAAAACAGTCTTTGCCTTCAGACTGTTCTCTACCAATACCCCGCTTCTGGCAACCTAGCCATCTTATGGGTCGCATCACTATCCAGTTTAAAATCTTTCAGATGTTATCTATTATTCTAAACTTTCTAAGGTCAAATGGAAAGAATTCATAATCTTTCGATACAATAGAGGAGTAAAATTACAAACATTTCTACACAAGTAGCAGTTTTCATAATCAAAATTAACTATGTCAAATCACTTACATCATAAAACAATTTCCTATCAGCAGCCAGACGTTTGGAAGCCAGAGTCTTAGTAACATGATAGAAGGTAAGTAATGCTCTGTGCTGTCGAAGATCATCTTGGACTTTCACAGATTCTATAAGAGTGGGAATGAGTTCAGGCCACTGTCTAGGACAGTCCAATCTAGCAACTTTTGCAATCAGCACTGCAATCTGAGTTGCAATCTAAAGGGAAACAAAGGAGTCATCAGAAACACACATATATAATCAAAGCAACAGATAAGGAATGCATTCACAGTTGAAAATTACCTTCTGGTCAGTTATACATTTGACAAAAGTGAATACAATTTCACTGAAAACTTCTTACTTAAGACAGTGGTTCACCAAGTATGGTCTATGAATCCCTTGAAGAGGGGAAGGGGGTTAAGACCCTTTCAGGGATCTGCAAGGTCTCTCTTTAATTTATCACTGTGATGCTAGATGTTCTTCATGTAACTTTTCCTAAAATAATACTTGGCAACAGAGTATAGGAAGCAGCAGATATGAAAATCTAGATGTTTTCTTTTAAATATCCAGACACTATGGAGATAAACAATAATGCAAAACAATGCCACTCTTCTCCTTAAATATGTATGTGTTGGGGGAAACAACTATGGTTCATTTTTTTAAATTCTATTTATGTTAACAAGTAATGGTTTTATTAATGTTAAAAAATTTGTTTCAATTGATAACACAGTAAATATCAAAATATAATGTGCCGTTTTATTTTAGCAGAATAAAGAAGTTATAAGATCACAAAGTTTGAGAATCACTGAACTAAGAGTAGAAATGAACATCAAATATTATGTTTGTAAATAATGACATTTGTACAGATATCAGTGTTTCCCAAATGCTGGCTGACAGAGCATATTAAGCAATGGTTTATCACAAACCCCTCCCAACCATCTCCTGCCCCAGTGAGAAATACTTCTTTAATCCCAATCTTCCCTCACCTCCTTCAAGGGACTACAAAGCAGAGAACTAAGATCACTGTAGAAGAGATTGAGATAAAACTGGATTAGATACATCACAAAATCCAGTGAGGCTAAATATTCAAATTAAAATAATTAAGTGTAATAAATAGTAACTTGTAAAAATTTAAGAATTTTTGAATCCATATGCAAAACATTCTTACACGCAAAATCTCACTGTAAAGGAAGGAAATGGAACTGAATAATCTATTACAGTATATAGGGAGAAGTGAAAATGTCATGGGTGTCGGGAATAGACAAGATATACTGTAGTTTAAAAAAAGGAGGGGAATGGGGTGCCTGGGTGGTCTGAGCATCCATCCAATTTCCCCTCAGGCCACGATCTTATGGGTTCAGGTTTGTGAGTTTAGACACTGCACTGAGCTTGCTGCTGAGAGCACAGAGCCTGCTTCAGATCCTCTGTCCCTTGCTCTCTCTGCCCCTACCCTGCTCGCTCGCTCTCTCAAAAATGAATAAACATTCAAATAAAATTTTAAAAAGGAGGTAGAGAATAACAAATCATTAAAATTAATTTCTATGCAATAAGACTAGAAATATATAGAAACTTGCTTTCAATACTCTATTTCTTAAAATGACTTCTGAATTTTAAAACAGCCAAATAGAACAAAAATTCTGACAGCTAGAAATTAACCTCAAAATTTAAAACCCACAAATATTACGAATAGACATGATAAAATTGCATTTTTCCTGCCAAAAAACAAAATTAGTTTGGAAACGAAGTAGAAAGTAGGGGAACAGAAAGCATACTTAGCATTCATTTTCTCACTAACCTGGTTTACTGGTTCGTTGAAGTTGGTGATTAGCCCTGCACGCAACGTAGATTTCTCCTCCTCTGAGAGAGCACTGTAAAAAGATTAATTCATTATGCAAGAGGATGCTACCTAACAATAAAAAGCCTTTCAAAAAAGAGGCCACTCATTAGTTTTGGTAAATAAATAGAATTATTGCCATTACTTGTATATTGACACATCAAGTAATTCCTAAGTGTAAAGCTCCTTCACAAGTGAATACAAAGTACAAAATAGTAAGCAACAGGAAATAAGACAAATCCAGAATGACAAATGTGGTACTGTGACATCTGCTTTATTAATATAAAAATAGTTGCCTAAAAAAATTAAGTTTCTAAAAAAAAAAAAAAAAAAGTGTGTATGAATAAATATTAGCCTTCCACTGACTTCTTTTATAAAATCTGAGTGAGGTTATTCTATAGGGGAAGGGATCAGGAATCAGAGGATATTTGCAATTAAAGACTTATTAGAAATCAGCTAGTTTAGGGGGCCTTGGAGGCCCCCTGCTGTATCAGCGCAGAGCCTGATTAAGAGCCTCTGTCCACCTCTCTCTGCCCCTCCCACGCCTGCACATGTTCTCTCTCTCTCAAAAATAAACATTAAAAAAAAAAAAAAATCAACTAATTTATAATTTTTCATTTTACATCTCCAGGAAGGATAAAAACAATACTAACAATTCTGCCTGCAAATGAGTTAGTAAACTACAAGAGCAAAAGACCAGTATGGAGAATATTCACTATTAGAGTATACGCATTTTGATTTTTGAAATATATGAATGGTGGGGCGCCTGGGTGGCTCAGTCGGTTGAGCGTCCGACTTCAGCTCGGGTCATGATCTCACAGTCTGTGAGTTTGAGCCCCGCGTCGGGCTCTGTGCTGACAGCTCAGAGCCTGGAGCCTGTTTCAGATTCTGTGTCTCCCTCTCTCTTTGACCCTCCCCCGTTCATGCTCTGTCTCTCTCTGTCTCAAAATTAAATAAAACGTTAAAAAAAAAATTAAAAAAAAAAAAGAAATATATGAATGTATTGTTTATTTAAAAATTACATTTTAAAGCCCCCATATTAAGGTTTTCCATTATGGCCATGATAGAGCAGATGGTATCAGATGAATCATCCCAGTAAGATCAGCTATAAAAGTGCTACACAACTTTTTGTTTTTTAAGTGTTAAGGCATCTCTCTGTTGAGTAGAACTGTGTCCCTCCAAAGAGATATGTTCAAGCCTTGACCCCAAGTATCTCTGAATGTGACCTTATTTTAAAACTGGACACTTGCTGATGTAATCAAGTCAGAATAAGGTCATAACAAATTAGGGTGGGCCCTGATCCAATGACTGGTGGTGCCCTTTACAAGGAAAGGAAAACGTGGACAGACACGGAAGAAACACGTGAAAAGGCGGCCATGTGATGATGGAGGCAGAGACTGGGATTACAACTGCAAGCCAAAAACCCCTAACAATTGCAGACCACAAACAGAGACTAAAAAGAGACAAGGAAAGATTTTTCCCCAGGACCTTCAGAATAAGCAAAGCCTTGACAAGCATCTTCACCTTAGACTTCTAGCCTCCTGAACTGTGGGACAACACAATTCTGTTGTTGTAAGCTACCCAGTTTCTGGTAGTTAGTTATGGCAGACTGAAGAAACTAATGCAGCATTTAAAACAATGTAGGCAGCCATGACTTGAAAGATGAAGGTCTACAAAAAAGGGAGAGGAACTGTGATGAGCCAGAACACTTCCCCTGGAGCTATCTGCCCATAAAAAACCAAAGCAGGAACTACACGACTAATGAGCTAAGAGATTTCACTAGGTCTCAAGTGCTGAAAAGGCAAAAACTGACGCTCAGGGCGAACCAGTAAGGCAATACTTTGGTAAACACCCAAAGATTGCAGCTGAAACCCGAAGAAGGCTAAAAATCAGGATTAAGAGTAAACTAGAAAGATGGGGGTTCCTGGGAGGCTCAGGTGGTTAAGGGTTTAACTTCAGCTCAGGTCATGATCTCGTGGTTCATTGATTTGAGCCCCGCATGGGGCTCTGTGTTGACAGCTCAGAGCCTGGAGCCTTCTTCAGATTCTGTGTCTCCCTCTCTCTCTCTCTCTCTGACCCTCCCCTGCTGGCTCTCAAAATAAATAAAAACATATAAAAAATTTAAAAAAAAAAAAAGTAAACCAGAAAGAGACCACCCTCAACTAAGTCAAGGCTGAAGTCATATTCTATTTGCCTGCCTGGAAAAAATTAAAATTTTCTCTAAAGAAAAATAACAAAATTCCAAGCCTCTCCAATTTTCCCTCAACAATGCTTAGCATACAGTCAAAAACTGACTGTGTATACTACAAACCAGGTAAAAGTTATTAAAATCAAAACACAAATAAAAATAGGAGACACAAGGGTGCCTGGGTGGCTCAGTCAGTTAAGCATCCAACTTCGGCTCAGGTCATGATCTCACGATCCATGAGTTTGAGCCCTGTGTCGGACTCTGTGCTGACAGCTCAGAGTCTGGAGCCTGCTTCCGATTCTGTGTCTCCCTCTCTCTCTGCCCCTCCCATACTTGTGCTCTGTCTCTGTCTCTCTCAAA